ACAACTTTGTCTTTTAACAAAATTTCTTTGGATATTTAATGGTAATGTGTTATTTTGAGCCCTATACATAACTGATAAAATACTGTAATCTACTAAATCATGGAACTTCAATAAGTTCAGTTGATAAAATAATGTGCTTGATGGGTGACTGTAATGTTTTCTGGTGATGATTCTTACAGCTCTTTTCTGTAAAATAAAAATAGGTTTTGTAAATGTTTTACATGCTTTCCCCCAAACATCAATGCAATAGATTAAATGTGGAACAATGATTGTGTTATACAACATGTACAGAGCTTTATCATTTAATAATTCCCTGACTTTGTATAGTACTGCAATAGATTTAGATATTTTTGTTCTTACAGAATTGATGTGATTTTTCCATGTTAGCTGTTCATCAATGATTACACCCAAAAATTTCATCTCATTAACTCTACAAATCTCAACACCCTCAATTTTAAATGGATCATCAACAGTTCTCTTTTTGTTACTAAATATCATGTATTTAGTTTTATCTAAATTTAATGATAATTTATTAAGTTTAAACCAAGTTTGTATTTTATCAAATTCTGTCTTCATCAATTCCAACATCCGTTTTACATCTTTACCCAAACAGAAAAATGTGGTGTCATCTGCAAAAAGGACACATTTGAGGAGTCCTGATACATTCACTAAGTCATTCACATATAAAATAAATAACTTTGGTCCAAGTACAGAGCCTTGAGGAACTCCACAAGTGACATTGCACAGGTCAGATCTTACACCATTTATTTGTACAAACTGTTTCCTATCTTTTAGATAGCTAGATACCCAGTGTAATGCTGGTCCTCTTATACCATATTTATTTAATTTTTCAAGGAGAATAGTGTGGTCAATAGTATCGAATGCTTTTTTTAAATCAACAAAAATACTAACACAATACTGTTTTTGGTCGACAGCAGTAGTTATTTGTTCTATTATTTCCATGAGAGCCATTGATGTAGAGTTTTTGCTCTAAACCCAGACTGACTGCTACTTAGAATGTTTTGTTTAGTAATAAATTTATCTAATCTGGTCACAAATAGTTTTTCTAGAATTTTTGAGAACTGTGGTAATAAGGATATTGGTCTATAATTATTGAACATACATTTATCACCATTTTTAAAGAGAGGAACTACCTTAGCTACTTTCATATTGTCTGGAAATATTCCTTTTGAAAATGATAAATTACAAATATATGTAAACGGCTCGATAACATAACTCATTATGTCCTTTACAAACATCATATCCATGTCCACCCAGTCTTTTGATCTCTTATCTGTAAGATTTTTTACAACATTCATTATTTCTTCTTTGTCAGTTCCATTAAGAAAAATACTGTTGTCACAACTTATAACTGAATGGTTCACATTATTGTCTACTTTTGGTATTTTAGCTGCAAGGCTTGATCCAACGTTCACAAAATGATGATTGAATCCATTTACAATTTCATTTTCATCATGGATTTCATTGTCATCCTTCAAAAAATATTGTGAAATACCTGTTTTTGCTTTATGACTTTTCAGAACATTATTTATTACTCGCCATGTAGCTTTCATCTAGAGAGATCTAGTAGAGTGCTGTATGAATGGGTAAATGAGGGCACAGATTGTAGTTTAAAGCGCTTTGAGTGTCTCAATAAGATAGAAAGGCGCTATATAAGTACAGTCCATTTACCATTTACCTTGGCTGCGCCTAGAAATTCTGTCCATAAAAGTTATGAACAGAATTGGTGACAAAGGGCAACCTTGGCAGAGTCCAAATCTCACCGGGAACAAGCCCAACTTACTGCCGGCAATGCGGACCAGGCTCTGACACTGGTCATGCAGGGACCTAACAGCCCGTATCAAAAGGTCTGATACCCTATACTCCCATAGTAACCCCCACAGGGTTCCCAGAGGGACACAGTCGAACGCCTTCTCCAAGTCCACAAAGCACATGTAGACCGGTTGGGCAAAGTCCCATGCACCCTCCAGGACCCTTCTGAGAGTGTAGAGCTGGTCCAGTGTTCCACGACCAGGACGAGAACCGCACTGCTCCTCCTGAATCCGAGGTTCGACTATCTGACAGATCTTCCTCTCCAGAACCCCCGAATAGACCTTACCAGGGAGGCTTAAGAGCGTGATCCCCGTGTAGTTGGAACACACTCTATGGTCCCCCTTTTTGAATAGGGGGACCACCACCCCAGTCTTCCAATCCAGGGGAACTTCCCCGCGATGTCCATGCAATATTGCAGAGTCGCGTAAGCCAACACAACCCTACAACATCCAGAGCCTTAAGGAACT